CCCCCCCCCCCCCCCACTGTAACGTGCTGTAACGTGCTGTGGGGCGCGTTAGAGCACATACCCCAGTGAGGCGTGGGTTAACAAATAAAAAAACACGTTGATTTCCGACGCTGGGAAATGCCCGCAATGATACCCACCCCACCACCCTCCCCCTACCCGGTCCAACAGGGTCTCAAGGAAATTCAACAACATGAACCGAAACAAAGGCTGCGATCTTTGCTGGAAATGGCACTCGTGAGATAAGTATTATTATGCTGAAGATACAACGACTTACTTGTTATTTCCGAGTATCCTCCACCGTCAGCTACGCTAACCACCCACACAATCACCGTTCAAATATTTAAAACCACGGAGCACCTTCACAACGCCGGCGCGCGGCCGGAACTGACATGGCGGCGCCGCTGCAGCAGAGTCAGACGCACGTGGATTGTTAGTAAGGGTGTAGTGTTGTCATGGTGTTGCCATGGTATACCTTACCATAGCAGCAGAAGCACACCCAGGGAACTGTTGCAAGAAATTTCTGGCCTTTCGTCCATAAAACTATTAATTGCTCAGGGTCTCAGCTAGTCCTTGGATGACGCTCCTTCCAACATATCAAAAATTGGCAAACACCTCTATGGAAAGGAGGAGACTTGATCGCCGAATTCACCTGCTGGATCCGCCCGTGGAAAGGTTGATTTTACTATGGTAGGGAATATTAGCTTACGAGGGTATCTACTAGCCTCAGGTGGTTACCACCTTGTAAACTGGGGTACAAAACCACCCCTGATAAACGTAACCATGGTAATATCAACATGTCAAGGCAGGATAGTATTCAGCACCATAGTAGGCTGGTAGTAATATGATGGTAGGCTGATGGTAAAATTTACCAAAGCTAGTAACTTAGTAAATTGATGGTAAAAACTTTTTTCAGTGATAATGCGCTACTTTTTCTTTAGCTACCAATGGGTTGTTTCTATCATGGTTACGGGTTTACCTCAGCAATGGTTGACTTATTTTCACTGCATCGAGCTTTGCAACTGGAAACTCCCCGAGTTACCGCATGTGTCACGAGTTTAATCGACCAGCATGAAATGCACAATGATGCATTCAAGCTGCAATTGCTGGCCGAAAACCCAGATCTGCATAGGAGAGCCATTGCAACTCGCTTTGTCGACATCATGCTGCTTTGGCTCGTCGGACAGCAACCGCCTCGGACATTCATTCATAAAACACCGCCTCCTCGACATGCAAAATTTTAGCCAGTAAAAACAGCCGTGTCACACGGGATTTGCATACATCAAGATCGTACGTGATTGTGAAATACACGGCCAAGTATACTTGATTATACCATGTCAACTTTACCGTTCGAGATCGAGTACCGTTTAACTAAAATTGCAAACTCTGCTCGAGTTCCCCACACTTAGAGCACCGATGTTCACCGTGTAACCTGCGGAAGTCAATGCGTGCACATCACAGTTTGGTTGGTTCATTGAAATGTCGCACTAGCCTGGTGACATTGCAGTCCGGACGCAGAGTATATGTAATGATCTGAGCTCGCTTGATAACTAACAGGCAGTGATGTGCGAAAAATCAGCCGTAACTACTCCATAATCATTAGCCACATACTAGGACCAATTAGGCGTCGGTCCGTCTAATGAACGTCAGAGGAAAACCGATACATATTTCGCCTTTACACCTATATACATACATTTACATGGCTGACGTTTTGCAACGCGCAGAAACTCGCTCATTAGCTATCACCGGAATTCAGACATCTGGCTGCACCAGGCTCGGACGATCGACTCTCCAAGACAAATATTTGGACCGGCCGGCCCGTGGTGGGCGCTCTCCGACCGACCGCAGCTAGTCGGGGGCTCTGTTGGACCGGCCGGCCCGTGGCGGGCGCTCTCCGACCGACCACAGCCAGCTCTGTGGGACCCCGGGCCGCCCGGCCGGACGGGCGCGCACGGCTTTTTGCCGCTCACGGGCCGCGTCGGTCGGCGACCGGCGACCGCCGCCGCCGGATGACACGCACCCATCGGGCGTTACCGTCACATGCTGCCGCGTCCATTGATTCAGCGGCCGCGCCCTGATCCGCCCAGGGGCACGCGGCCCGCAGCCCGCGGGGCCTCATCAGCGACCCAGCACGCCAGTCCCGTCGGCCTGCCCACCGCCCTCCGCCCCTCACCCCGTCCGACAACTCGCGTGCTGACTGTGTGCCCATGGATGGGCCACCCGGGCCGGTGCGGTGGTGGACATTATCCGCAAAAAAAGCGGTTAAGGATGTAGATGGAACTCCTGGGTCCCTTATTGGCCTCGAAGCCTATTGTTCCATCCACTTTTATGTTACCATTTCTGTACAACCTTGAATGTATTGTGAAAGTGGGACTTTTCAACCATAAATTGGATGAAGGCTCCCCTGACGACCGTTTTCAATCTTGTGTCTAAAATAGTTAGTTTTGTCTCGCAAATAACACTCAACAAAAATATTTTCTAAATTGAGTTACGCTGAGCAAGCATTACCCCGCATATTGGCTGGTTAATGTCAGCTTCATTGCTCTGAATATGGCTCCAGTGTAGAATGGACTAAGCGATATTGCTCATTACCCGAGGTTGCTTGGGGTTGCCGAGGTCACGTGCAGTTCATGAACAGTAGTTCACATATAGGTATATAACTCACACATTCCCCCGTGATATTCATTCGCACTTTGTAATTGTGAAAAGTTATTGGTATTTGCATTGTTTATTGTCCAGTTGTGCATTGGTTTAGATTGTGTTGTATCGGCTTGGTATACCGTTTTCTTGAGTAGGTACTGGATTCTTGACGTATAGGTATTGGCGAAGACTGCTCTAGATAGAACACCCTCCACTCACCAAATCACACATGAATAACATTCATGTGCACTAGTGCAGGAGTATAAGCTGCAGATGCCGCTGTCCTTTCTGCTGGCTCGAATTGCCAGTGTCAGCTAGCACGCCCGCTCCGTTCCGCCGCTCCGTTTTGCATGCATGGCCCCCACCACTCGTGCAGAATGACAGTCACTCAGAAAGTTTCCAACACCTACCATTTGTATTGAACGGGCACCGTTTGGGTCTGGCTAACTCTGGGTGATGGGTGAGCCTAGAATGCGCCTCATTAAAGGTCGGTCGCCACGGTCGGCCGCCACGGGATGCACTCGTAACATGTACGGAGGTCGAGCGGAACTGCGGGATGCACTGTGGTGCACAGTGTGCAGTGGGCCCTGTAGATGTTTTTGCACCTTGACCGAAAGAGTGGCACGGGGATTTTTCACCAATAGGTAAATAGACAAAAGACATGTTCCATTTTCTATTTTTGACAAGAACAACAAGGGTTAGAAAGAATTTCGTCGTAGTCCCATCATGGTTTTGAGTTTTGCTCATTTTTCTGATTTCTGAAGCCCGTTGGAGCCGCTGTGAGGCTATTCAATACCAGCGCCGACCTCCTGCAGTGCCGAGCTGCCTTCCGGAGCAACACTCTGGCTGGTGCCCCGGAGTCCCGCTGTGGGCGCGGGGGACGCGTCGCCTCCGTTAACTGACGCTGTGGATTTACGCCGCCGTTCACGGACGGAAGGTGGGGAGATGGGTGTCGCACCTCCGCCGCCTTTCACGGGCGGCAGAGCGGGCTGAATGCCGCGGGCCGGCTCCGTCCGGCACAGGGCCGGTCATTTCTCACAGACGACACCATCTGGATCGATAGCTGATCTCCAGCGTGCTGCGTTCTCGTGCACTTTCACCGCTTTTGTTCATGTTCACAAATAAATTAGAAGAAACCGTAGCAGTTTACCGAACCTTGCGGCGTGGGTCGTAACTCATAACTCTTCGATTAACCCTCGCCCGCACATGCCATTTTCCCATCCTAGAACGCACATGGGGGGGGGGTGGTTGCCACCCCCCCCCCGCGCCATTTCGTTCCTGTTGGAGATAGAGCTTAGCAGTAAAGACCAAAAAGATTCTTTGGGAAGAGACGAATCCAATGATACCCAGTTTTACCTTCTTAGGTCAGTCATTGACCTTCCAGGTCAGGTCAAACTAAAAAATGTTGCTGTTTTGGGTCACCGTTGGATATCAAGTGCGCTGCTTATCAAATACCGATGACGATGCTGTTTTCTGGTGCCAAGCCAGCTAGAACCTCTTTGTCACACTATCCGACCAGAATTTTGCTGCTGAGGTCATTTCAGGTCAAGTTAGGTCAAGGTCAATTATATGTGTTTGTATGTCTGTGTGTGTCTGTGTGTATACTGATGTGTGCACCGATTGTTTTTGGGTCCATATGACATGAAATCATGATCTGAGAAGCTTTTACCAAAAATGCAGTCAAAAAACTTCACAAAAAGTAAATTCAGCTTGCCTAAAACGCAATTATCTTAGATGACCTAGGTTGACCTTGACCCTGACCTTGACCCCTGTACATCGTCGAACAACATGTTCCATGATAGGTGGGAGGTAAGACTGGCAAAAAAGGCCGAAATCAGGGTGTCAAAAGCTCACAAGGCCCATGGCAAACGTAAGATGTTGAGAATTGGCCATTTGGGTCATGACATGACCTGAAAACAAGGTCATATCTCCGAAACCAAAAATCACAGAAACTTGAAATTTTCAGTGGACATCAAGAAAGGATAGAGGAGCAGCTATACGAAAAATCAGCCTTCTAGCTCTAAAAATGTTGAGTGCAGAGCAGAAAGACTGCCTGGGGGGGGGGTGGCAACCACCCCCCCCCCCATGTGCGGGCGAGGGTTAATCACCTCAAAGGAAGGAATTTGAAATGAGCGCTGCTTTGTGATGATGAGACCCGGACTGGGGACTTGTTCGGGAACTTGAAGCTAGGTTCTGTTCTATCTTCGCCAGACGCCATTTACACTGGGTTGTTAAAATCTGATATCTTCCACCCTGTTTATTAGTTTCTGTGAGGGCTGACGGTGCCCTTCAGTTTCCCCACCTCTCACTGAGTGCTGAGCCCGACTCCGTCCCGTGTTGTGACCGACCGTCCGTGCCCGCAGGGTTGCCGCCGACCGCACGCGGAAGGCGGCACCATGCAGTACGTGAAGCTGCTGCCGCACAAGGTGATGCGCCGCTACCTGCTGGTGGTGGTCGTCTGGACGCTCTGCTGCTACGCCGTCTACAGGTGAGGCCAGCGTCGTAGAATCGACCATCTCCCTGTCCTTGTCACCTCGCGCATTGGTGTCCTCTGGACGTTCCAATTTCGTGCAGGACCGACTATCTTCCTCCTCGTCTTCTCTTGGTTAGGTGTTCACTGTTCTCTGAACCTGGGCAATAAATGTGGAGAGCATCCCATGTGTATTGTTAATCGTCCTGTAGGAACTAGGAATAATATAGGTCTTCAATTTATGTGCGGCCATCAAAAACAGAGCTAAGTAATTGAAGTAAGTAACACTTCGACACCAGAGACACTTGTACCGATTGTTTCAGACATCGTGTCACATTATGATATTTCTTATGCAAATCGATGCATTACATGCAAACCAAGACAAAATGACGACAAAACAAAACGACATTCGATCCTTGATATAGTTAGTGGAACGCTTGTTTGTGAAACTGTGCTAGACACTAAACAACAGCCAACAGGCTTTACTACACCAATGCCAACAACTAATAAGCACGAATGTTCGGCGCCGCAGTTCGCTCCTGGACGTCCCTGAAACGAGCGGCCCATCAACTCGTAGTTGTGGCTTTGTTCCCAGCCTGACCACATCTCTCGTCTCTGCAGCAAACCGCGAGCGAGGCGAGACCGAACATTTCTGACGATGTAACACAGCGAAGTACCGTAAAAAGATACGAGTAGTCTGGGGACGCTTCAGCTTGGAGAGTGCAGGATCAGAATGTAATACCTATTTTGTTCTTATTTCACCAAACATGACCCGTATTTACTGGACATGCACTCTGCAGTGCAACAATGAATAAATATCATGACTGATCTTTGTACCAACAATTGCAAACATACTCAATGATTAATAGCTCGAACATAATAATCAAGCGTAAGTTAACAACGTCTGTGTGTTCTTAAGGCACAAGTATAGCTAATCGTATTTGCTACACAGACTGGCGAGCAGGACGGCGCACTGGTAGCGTTCAGCGAAAAGCGGGTGGAGGGAGCCCTTAGCCCTTTGACTATCACAGGAGTGCGCATATCATACCCACGTGGCCGCTATGTTTGTATAGTGCGCCAGGATCACCGTTTCACGAGCGATCGATCTTGTGATACCCGCCGCCGAGCCGTGCAGTGGGTTTATCTGACCCCACCTCCTCCATCCCCAACCCACACCGATAGCCACCCGTCCACCCGGCCGGTGGCGCCGTGTCGCGGGGCTCGGAGCTGTCGCCCGCGCCGGCAGTATTCATGACCGTGGGTTTTGGAATGGGGATAGATAGGGGAGGGGCGAGAGCCGTATATCCCGACCGTACCCCACGACTGCCGCGTGCCATCGATGTCCCGCTACCCCGTCTGTAGATTAAACACATGATAAAATCCACTAATTAGCCAAATGATTTCACGGCAGGGGCGCCCTGATTTGGTTAATCATTAACCCGCGCCCCGTAGGGGGGGGGGGGCCGAAACGGCCCCCCCCTGTCCTTTTCGGTCGATATCTCCTAAACGGCTGGAGATATCGCCACGAAACTTTCAGGACCCCTCCGGGCATCAATTTTACACATTGTGACCAAAAATTTTTCCAGAGGCTGTGATAGGTTGGCCACAAATGACGTCAGAGTGACGTCATGTTCTGTCATTTTCGACCGAAAAAAGACCTTCGCGAGAAGACCTGTCAGGCCTACAGCTTTGAAGATACAGAAAAATGATAAAAACATAAAAGGTGTAGAATTGACAGGGCTACAAAACTGCTATCTTGGATTTTTGAAATTTTTGAGTTTTGATCCCCAAAAATCAAAAAAGCATTTTTTGGATATATTAGCCAAAAAATCCAAAAAGTTTTTTGAGTTTCGAAAAAACCGGAATATATGTGATAGTACCTACCGTCTTCTATCTACATACCAAATTTCAGATCGATACCTCGTTTTTTGGCCAAGTTATAGTGAAAAAACTGTTCAAAAATGATGACGTCAAATTTTCAAACTCAATTTTTGGCAATTCTAGAACTCGTAGAGCAAAACAAAGACCACCATTAGACTCCCCGTGACGAGCTGCATCGAATGGATAGGGGAGATCCGTGTAAGACGCCCAGGGTCGGTAAGAGGCCCCATCGTTTTTTTTACCAAACCAATAATGTTATTTATTTTTTAATGTTCTTGTAAAGCAGAAGCCCTCTTGAAACAACAACTCACGAAACCTGAGGTATCAGGTGCGTCGCAGCGACTTTTGGTAAGCCTGTTTCTGTTTTTGCCCCTTTACTTGCTAGATATATGCATCTTTATCACCCTTATATATCTGAAAAAACAATAGCTATCAAATGCAATCTTTTCTCATCGAAATTGTCACATGTTAGCTTCAGAATAGACCATGTTCTGGTGCGCTGCAAATGTCTCATAAACCATAAATATTGTGGACGTTAAAACACTGTATTTTTTTAAGAGGCCCTCCCTTCGAGGATGATAAAACGCCCCCCGATAAAAAAAACGCCCCCGATGCTAAAACGCCTGCACCTGCGGCAGGCGTGGCATTCTTTTTTCAAGAAGTTTGTTTTTGTTTCTTTTTTCTGTTTCTTTTCTTAGAGTTTATAGGTACAATTTTCGTTGGTCATCAGCGTTTGGTTGTGCTAGTTTTCGCATTGTTCGAGCGCTTTGGAAGTGTTATTGGTTTCGATAACACCGTATTTGCTTAGCTTTTCGAAATAAAAGGCCTTGCAGCTGTGTTCGCAAAGCGTCTTTTACAAGTCGACTTGACTTTTAAAACGCCCGAGGGGGGGGGGGCGTCTTACCATACCCATAGTGTAAGAGGCCCTTTTGCAACTTTTTCCAAAATGTTAAAGTTTACGGTTTGTGTACCCCCTAGATTCATTTTGAATGCAAATATGTATGGGAAAATGATGCATGCTCACAGCGCATGCACACGTTAGCGCTTAAATATTATCAGTTGTCTAAAAATAGTAACTGAGCTTAAGGGGGGGCCTCCTGCACCACTCTCCCCTACCCATTTTATGCAAAAATATCAACTTTGAAATTTGACCTAATTTGACCTGACCTTGACCTGACCTTCACCAAAACGTGACCTAGGCTGGCCCCAAAGGCTGCCTAACCCACATAATCGCATTTGTCATGTAAAATGGACCATAAAACATGTATCACACGACACATTCATATTGTGACCCCCGGTGACCTGACCTCGCTGTGACCTGACCTGGTATCAGTGACCTCAGATAGCAAAGTATGTGTTTGACGAACAATATACCATCGATGGTTTTCAATAAATTACCAATTTACTCGATTTCACAGCACATTTCTTGAATTGCCTGTGAACGGTGAAAATCTGACCTTTGACCTGACCTGTGACGTCATCGGTTTGACCTAGGTCAATGAAATTTGGTCACAAGGTAGTTCCCGGGTAGGGCTATCAAACGCCGTTTGAATTTTGAAAATCGGTCGGTAACTTTCCGAGATCTTAGGGGGGGCCGAAACGGCCCCCCCCCCCCTACGGGTGGTAGGGTCCGCCGGTAGCCCTACGGGGCGCGGGTTAAACAACTTCTTGATTGCATGCAGCTTGACACATTGTTTTAAGTGTGGAAATGTAATGCAAAAAATACACTGATTTTTGAGTTTTAGTGTGAAGTAACCGTTAGTGATGCTTGCCCTTTTCTTTTTTAATTTGTTAAGTTAGTTTTTAGCTTTCAACTGGTGGTACTTGCCCAGTACGTCAACAGCTATGATTTCTTAGCACATGTGCAAGGGCGACGATTCCACGATCTACCGCCGCTGCACCGTTGCCTTCATAAGCCGCAGTTTTCGCGCACAGCGGCCGGCGATTTCGACGGCGATGTCCTCGAGCCTCGGCGGCAATTGCGCCGCGACAAGACGAAATAGAAAGCGATTCGCTGGCCGGAGTCCGCGCTCGCCGAGGAGGGGAGGGACGCTCGCCCTGGAAGCCTGGCGACAGAGTCCGCGGGCTGGTGAATGATTTTGTTTCCAAGGAATAACATCCAGGGCACATCTGGACCTGAGCCCTGTCTGGCGTCCGGTCGCGCACAGCCAATGGGCCGCGTGATCGCGATGACGACACCACGTGTGGACTCCAAGCGGAAAACATGGAGCGCGGCGACGTCGACAGCAGGTTGGACCCGGCTGCCGCCGGTTCGAACCGGCCGGTACTGGCCGCCGGGCGAGGACGCGGCTCGCGACAGCCGCCCTCTCACCGCCCGAAGAGCCCCGCTGGCCGCTCCGCCGCGCCGGCCGGTGAAGGGCCGCGGGCGGCGGACGACGCGGGGCGGCCGCGCGGTCGGCGTCGGTCGGCGCTGCAGCTCAATGAGGGGTGTCTCCGAGCAGGGGGAGCGGGAACGCTCGCTACTGACGGGGCCGCGTCGGACAGACTCGGAATGTCCAGTCCGGCCTGCTGGCGCTGCGCTGGCGTTCCCCCGAGCTGCTCACGAGTCGCCGGGTGGACCCCGGGTGACAGCAGAGGGGTCCCTGAGTCACCGTGACTCGGCGACCGGCGCCGCAGTGCCGTTCTGGAGCGATGCGGATTGCGCTGGCACGGCTCGGTGGTGACCAGGTGCACCAAATTGACGGCGAATGGGAAAGCGGTTTGTTGTCGTCGGTTGGACAATGAATATTGGAAAGCTGTGCATCTTGGCCCTCCATGCCGTGTGCCTGCGCTCTCACTGTCACTCTTGCATGTGGAAGCCGATTCATGCACTAACTTGTAATGTACGCAACAGCAAGTGCAGGTCATTGCATTTTTTTATTATATAACTTTTATTACATGCTAAAAAGGATAGATAGACATTTCAGAGAAAGGCGACGAAGCCGTTAGACACACGGGACACATTGACCATTGGAATTCGATGTTCTCACTCTCCTCACTCTATCCCTCCCTGCTTTTGCCTCTACGTAATTATGCTGCTTTGGTTACCCTCCAAACAACAGTAAGGTGCCAGGTTTCTCTATACGCACTCGCCTTTGACTGACTCTTCCCATTGTCCTTTACAATAATGGCCGCGT